AATTCAAAAATAAATAATTAGGCTTTTTTGATATAGGCTGGGAGTGGCCTTCTTTTGATCAAAACAGGAGTAGTGTACACTTGTATGCCTCTTGTTTTGGGAGAAAAATTGCTGCTGTGGCAGATCGCATTTGGGCACCTTGAGGGTAGCTGAGTGAGTCCGGAATTGCAAAAAGAGGGTAGTCTTAAGATTAGATTAGTTGTATTTCCTTTTAATTTTTTGTATTTGCTTTATTACGTATAATGTAATTCTCTTAATAAAATGAAGGGCAAGATCGCCTAAGATTAAAAAAAAAAAAAAAATCAAATAATTTATCTGTTATAATTTTACTTATCTAAATTACTTATCTGTTAGCTAAACCTTTATTCAGATATCTAGATATCTAGATAACTTATCTGAATAACCTTATCTGAATTCATGCACTACTATGTAGTATAGTAAAAAAAAGATATTTTGCAAATCAAGTTTATAATCTTGTTTTGAAAGAGTATTAGTACTATGTAATCTCATTTTGGAGTCTTAAGTAAAGTTGTGAAACAAGTCTATATGATTCTAATGGATATTAAAATATTAAAATCTGTCTACAGAGTAGTGAGATATAATGATTTTTATATTTCTATAAAACTATATTTCTCTTCTCTTTTTTAGATCTTCTCTATATAAATTGTTTTGAAAATGCTATTATAATACTTTAGAGAAATTTTGTGAGTTAGAAAAGTATTTTTGCTCTAAGAAATATTATAATAAAAGTTGTAAAGTAGATTCTTGTGAGTAGAATAGTATATGTATTATCTCTGTAAGGTTAATATTAGTAGAGATATTGAGGAAATATGATAAACAATTATACATCAGTCTTTTTATTCTTTTCTTTTTCAAAGAAATTTGAGTAGTTTTGCAGAAAAATTTTAATATATTTCTGCTAGAAGGCATCAAATTTTACAGGTAGTATAGTCATAGTTCTCATCTAAAAAGTTACTTAGAACTATTTTTCAATCTAAATGCTTCTTGAAGTACTTTACTTAGAAGTGAATGTTTTCTATGAATTTTTATACTATAAAATATCAATACTAAAATAATATAAATATAAGAAATAATACTAAAATACTAATAAATATAACTAATAAAAATATAATATAAATTATGCTAAAATCTATTCTATAACAATATGTTTACTAGTACAAAAAAATTAAGATATCAACTTAATATCAACAAAAATAATAATAAACTTTGTAATGTAGAATTATAGAATAATGATTTTTATAATTTTGATCATAATTATATATTTCTATATATAATATATTAGAAAAATTTGTTACTAGTATTTTATAGTTGAATTGAGAAAACTTTGATAGTATATATAAATAATTATATTAAATAGAAAATATAATCTATAATAATTACATATATATTAGATAATCTATTACTATTTTTTTTTTGAGTTAGTACTTAGTAGTAGTCACTAGATAGTAATATATACTAGATAGAAATGTTTTAGTTGTAGATTAAAATTATTGATTAAATAAAGTATTAGCATGATTGCTAAAAAAAAAAAAAAAATTACTATTTTTTTAAAATTTATATATAGATACATAGTATATATTTATTATATATATATTTAAATTAACAGATAATTAATAAACTATTATCAGCAAGACCTCACCTCAACTTATGAGTTGAAATTTCAAAAAAAAAAAATAAAATAAACTATTATCACAAATAAATCTTAATAGGATCTATAAGCAGAGAACCTGTATAATTAAAATTTTGAGTTAGATAAAGTAGTACAAATTTTAACAGTTATGCTAGTTAATGCTTGATCTAATGAAGAAGACTGTATATAAAGAATGTAAATTGAGTAGATATGAGTAAGTCAATTATACTAGTTGTACGATAACACCAACTTGGCTTAGTATCTAAACTGAATTAAAAAGATCTGCTTTGTAAAATATTTAGAAAATATAAAAAATCTAATTTGGTAAAAGGCTATAACAAGAACTGAATTTGTACAAATATCGAATAAGAATATATGCAAGTTAGATTAGAATATAGCATAACATAATTAGATATTGTAACATCTATTTATTAATAGTATTAAGGTAGTACTTATTAGATAAGGCCTAAGCTCATAATAGTAAAGTTTAAGACATATGTTAGCTTAGGTGTCTTCCAAAGTGAAGTAGCATGAGATTATAATTTACTTAAAGTATAATACTTGTGATAAGTGAGATAGAACCAGAGAATTTAAATAAGAAATCTTCTAAGAAATTTTAGGTATGGTAGCTAATGTAGAACCTTCAAGCAAACTACTTAAAATAGACAATCTAAAATTGTACATGTGACTAGTTGTACTCTTACAATATGTATTATGTTTCATAACTATAAAACTAATAAAAGTTAAAAAAAAAAAAAAATAAAAAAATAAACTACTATCTGTTGAATATTAGCAAAATATAAACCAACTATTTTTTGTAATTTTATATTATAGAAATATCGGATAGCAGATAGCTTGTCCGATATATTTGATTTCAACCTATGTACTATATAATAAAACAAAACAATTTTAAAAATTCAATAAAAAATTTTAGCAAGCAAATTTGCCTACTAGACGAATAAACAATTATTATATTAAAACTAACTTTGTATATTACTATCAAATATAAAGCATTTGAAAGTATTAATTTCTAATTGATAATATTTTATCAATCATTTACTGCACTTACATTTAGACATGTAATATAAAAAAACTAGTTTACTAGTAAAAAAAAAAATTCAGCATAGAAGTTTCAGTCTAAGCATATATATTATTTAGTCAAGCATGAAATAATTATTTCTCAATTCTATGAATTGATTAAATTTTTAAATTTAAAACGCAATGAATTCTTATATTTATAGTACAAATTATCACTATCTCCATTTTATTATTTAAACGTTTTACCATCCGCAAATTTCTTGCCATCAAGATGACCGTCCCAAGCCTAATTTATAAAGTATAATTTTGAAAGAGTTAGTTATATATAATGGGATATAAATTAAATAAACGTAAAAAAAAATTTACCAAATAATCCTCAAAGTTGGAACGAATGTTAGGATCAGTATGATCTACCTTTTTGAAAGTATAACTTTCGAAATCGGCAGCGTCAGTTACTGTTATTCAGACATACCAATAAAAAAACATATTTTAGTATTTAGTTTTAAGGTTATTAACTTAAGAAAAAAGCTCGATAGCATACCTTCCTCTGGTACCTCTTGTCCACGAATAACAAAGTATCCAGCAATTTCATTATTATTATCTATGGTACATTATAATTAGTCATTTAATCTTTAAAATAAAAAAATATATTTACTAAATTGAAGTACTTCACCTTCGCCCAATACTAATAAATTTCCAAATGCATATTTGCGTGCTCGTTCTAATCGATTAAAAAAGCCACCAATAAGGTTACTACTCATAAAGATTTTTGACAACTCTTCATTATATTTATAGTCCACACGCCAAATAGAATATCCTTCTGGATCATAATGATCCCAGAACCAATTAATAGCATCTGGACGAGTATCATTGTTAGAATAGAAACGTTTCCATTCGTCCAAATTTAATTTACTGGGAGGCAATGAATCCAGTTTGCTCTTAGGTTTAGGCTCAGGCTTTACTTCATCTTCGTCTGGATCATCAGGGGTTTCTGTTTTTTTTTTACTCTCCTTTTCTTCGGGCACTTCTCTAGTTTTAGTTTCTTTTTTACTTTTTTCTTTCTTAGGTGCTATTCCCGTTAAAAGACATTGCTTCAATATAATGTAAATTAAAAAGAAATTTAATGATCAAAATGGAGTAGTACACGTACGGGTATATACATGAGCAACATCTACAAGAGTGACTTCTCCCAAGATTTTCTTAAAAGCTGGTTGATTGACAAGTGTCACATACCATCGGGTAAGGTTCTTGTAATCTTTTCGGAACTCAGTATCCAATACCAATTTGAAAGGTAAATAAAGAGCCGTAGCAACTGAAATATCAGCCAACGTGATACGTTCATTAACCAAGTAGGTCTTTTTCAACAAGATTTTTTCTAAAACACTCAAAGACTTTTTTAGACCTTCTGTTGATTGGACATGGGCCTTATTTGAAAATTTAACATTTACGATCAGTTATTAATTCAATTCAAATTAACAAAATAGATAAAATAATGAACAAAAATTACCGCTTTATTATATTGTGTTATGCCCAAAATTGGATTGATCCAAGTATTAGCATGAGGAATAATTTCATTTTCGGCAAATAAAATGTAATTAAGGACTTTAGCAGTTTCTTTTTTGTCCTTTCCTAAGAGCTGAGTACTTTCTGAACAACTGGCCACTAAATATCATATTAATATATTTGTTTATGATTAGTTTCAATATAAACATATATTCATATGTTTACATACTATTATAAAATATTATTTTTTTCAGAAAAATCAATTCTCTTTCATGAAATTTATCAGTCAGGGATAACTGTTTTTTATTTCTCATCATTAACGAAACTATATTTCTATACTGATCCCACTTATATTAAATGACAGAAAAATGTAATTTTTATACTAAATATTGTAACTCACCATAATACGCAATAGCTCCACACTCATTCAGATGGAGATCACCATCGGCACTTTCGAATGCAGGGACCTGGAAATGAAAAAATAAAAATAAAAATAAAGCATTCTTAAACTTTCATCTATATTATTTGCGACTATAAATTTATAATGTGAAAGTGATGAACTATTTAGATGAGAATTTTCAACTCACTTTTTCATGGTAGAAATTTTCTAGAAATTTGGGCTCTTTGTTATCTTTACCGAATTCAAATTCGGCAATTTCCACCTCAAGATTATTATATTCAGCAGCAATTAAGATCTTGAAAGTGCGTGGATTATTAGGATAGGAGTAGATTTTCTAAATAGAGATCAGTAGTTTGAATTTCATGTTAAAGCAAAAACTTACGATCTTTTCTACACGATTTTTCCAAACATCTTCACCAACGGTTTTATACTGTTTAGACATTATAAGAGAATCTATGTTAAACAAGGGAAAATACATAAACCTGCTATAAATGCTCTAATCACGTGAATTACCTTAATTATTTTGTGGCTTTTAGTGGCTTTGATAATTTAATGTTATAAGCCTCTTTCTGATCTAAAATTTTTTTTTTTTCGGATTTGACCAATTTGTCCATCTCTTTTTACTTGATTCTATTCAACAAAAATGGCTCCTATCGGCGTATGTATCAATTTGATTTGTATAAAGAGCTCTACAAGCAGATCATAGGGTTTAAAAAAAAGTCTTGTTTAAGTCATTGTCTTTACGGGAAGAGTTTAAATAAGCTTCGGCATATAATGCATCTCGGCGCAGTTATACTCGTATTGTGTTTAACAGCATTAAGGAAACACCGTTCGTTTCTTTAAAAGCTATTTTAGCAAGTGTTTATAGTTGCTTGAGATAAAGAATAAACATATACAACAAAGTTTATGACTTTTTTTATTCATTATCTTTGAGGCACTTACATTTCAACCTATGTACTATATAATAAAACAAAACAATTTTAAAAATTCAATAAAAAATTTTAGCAAGCAAATTTGCC